CGTCACCACCTGGTTCGAAGGGGAGCTACAACAAGACCTTGTCAGAGGTCTACTGGTGATCCCCGATTGATCCTAGGGAAGGGTTACAGGCACGTTGGCCTGGGGGGGTTATGGGCGCTTTGACCCGCTACTTAAACAAGCCCTTTTATCCCAATGGTCTAGTGGTTGGGATTCTGACATGGTATCAGAGCGAAGGTCTCGGGTTCGAAACCCGGTGTATGCACTTCGGGCATCCCAGTGCGGGGGGGTGTCAGAGGTCCACTGGTGATCCCCGATTGATCCTAGGGAAGGGTTACAGGCACGTTGGCCTGGGGGGTTATGGGCGCACTGACCCGCTACTTAAACAAGCCCTTTTATTCCAATGGTCTAGTGGTTGGGATTCTGACAGACCTCACACTCACGGTCTCGTCTACCGTTACGCGATATCTCGGGCTCAATAAATGGGAAGAGGAGGACGCGATCTACCTCAGCGCGGCGAAGTACGCTAACACCATCGCCAAATGCTTCGCTCTCACGCCGACCACCATCTCCACGCCATACCGCTACACGGCAGGAAACAACAAGGAAGGAACCACTCTGCTAAAGCCCGCCGGCATACGCGACTACCAAAGAAAGCTAGGCTGTCTCCTCTTCGCAGCCATCACTTGCCGTCCAGATCTATCATACTCCGCAAGCCAGCTCGCAACCTACCTCAAGAAACCTGAAGCAAACCACATGGCAGAACTAGATCGCGCTCTCCACTACCTCGTCAACACCCCAACCGTCGGCCTAACCTACCACAAAAAGGGAACCACGACTCCTAAACTAATCGCCTACGTCGACGCCGATCACGCTGGCGACTCCGACAACAGACTTTCCCGCACCGGCTACATCTACCGCTTCGAACCTATCGGTCCTATCTCCTGGCAGTCGAGCAAAAAGGAATTAATTGCCCTCTCTTCAGCTGAGGCAGAATATATCGCACTCTGCTCAGCCACCAAAGAAGGATTGTACCTTCGCGAACTCCTGGAGAAAGCGAAGCTGGCTCAGTTACCCAGCTTCACTCTGTTCTGCGACAAGCAGTCAACAATTCGCATAGCCAACCAGAACGGCTTCGCAAACAGAACGAAACACATCGCCCTACGATACTTCTTCGTGAAAGACGAGATCGAGAAGGGAAGACTCGAGCTTTCATACTGCCCTACATCCGAAATGGCAGCTGACTACTTGACCAAAAAGCTTGGTAAGCAGAAGTTCGAGTACTGCATGCTGCTGACTGGACAGAGTTACGTCACCAGCAGCGACACTCTAGAAGCGAAGGGGAGTGTTGGAAACAACTAATTCAAAGCGCCTCTGTCGTGTCGAAACACCAAGTCAGAAGCGAAGCAAAGTACGCGAAAGTCAAAGGTCAACGACCTTTGACCTGGCAAGTACAGCGCGACAGCAAGGACACACAATTGACTCGCTACAGAGCAGTTGCCCGAGTCGTCACTGTATCGAACCGCAACAGCAACAGTAAAGTAGTTGCAACCGTATCTCTTCATATTCCTTGTACTCTTATATAATCCTGTATCTCTTTTCTTTAATCAATCTACTTTGCCCTCACATACTAGCGCAAGGTGGTTCAAATGTTAGAAGAGGGATTGCACTAGCAAGAAGAGGGATTGCACTAGCAAGAAGGGGGATACAAATAGCAAACCCTAGAAGGGTTGTACTTGCTATAGAGCACCCCACTACAGGCTAGAGCATAAGATAACATTCTGACACACCCCCATAGCCAAAGTGGGGTGTAATCAGCAGAGCAAACAAAGCAGTACAAGCTCAGGGTGGATCACAATGTCACCACACATTCTGAGCACAAGTTCAAGAAGCAATAGTTTAAAGTTCACAATTATGAGCAAAGCTAGTGGTAGTCACAACGGGCAAGTGAGGAGGAGGAGAGAGAGTGAGAGGAGAGGAGATAGGAGGCGACGGCTGAAGCTGCAGACACTCGGGCAACAGTAGGCAGACTGGCACAGCGGCTACCGGGCGAAGCCCCCGGAATACTGGAGTAACTGGCCCCGCGGCTAAAGTAGCGGCAGACGAGCAACGGACCCACGGGCGGCTGGCACAGCTGGCTACGACTGGGCTACCAGACGAAGTCCCCGGAATACAGGTGCTGCTGGCAACACGACGGCAACCTCCATGCAGCTTCCCCAAACTATCCCACTCCCCCTGGCACACACCCGCTGCTACACCGCTAGCTCCACTCCCCCTTCACCCCCCTTAAACCCTAAACCCCAGTCTCCCACTCATCCACCCCCCTCATCGACAGCTGCAGTAGTGGGAGACGAAGGAGGAGGAGGAGCAAAGGGAGGAAGGCACAACTGCCACCCCCATACCCGCCACCCCCTACTCGCCACCCCCTAGGTCGCCCCTCCCGTCGCCTGTCGAGGCGACCTGAGGGGGCCGCTTGAGGGCCGCAGGTAGGGTCGCCCGAGTCGCGCACAGGCTGCCCGAGCTTCGCGCAGGCCTAGAGACGCCCGTACGGGCCGCGCGCGGGCCTGGCGCAGCCCGTACGGGTGGTGCGCGGGCCTGGCGCAGCCCGTACGGGCCGCGGACGGGTCGGGCGCGGCCCGTACGTGCCGCGCGCCGGCCACAACGGGCGACGGGGGGCGACAAACGGGTCCCCGTCGCCCGTCGCGGCGCCGCCCAAGGGCGACGCGCCGGTCGACGGGGCAGAATCCCGCCGCGCGCCTCGGGGCGCACAGCGGGCAGAGAACCGCCGCGCGCCTCGGGGCGCACGGCGGGCAGAAAACCGCCGCGCGCCTCGGGGCGCACGGCGGGAAGAAAAATGCCGCACGCCACGGGGCGTGCGGCTCAGAGGGTAGTTGCAGTAGTAGCAGCGGAAGCGAGAAGGTGGTAAGCCCACCCACAGGATCGATCCAAGGGGATCGACCTGCTCTGATAGCATGTTAAAGTTTAAAGAAAGAGAGGGATTGCACTAGCAAGAAGGGGGATACAAATAGCAAACCCTAGTAGGGTTGTACTCGCTATAGAGCACCCCACTACAGGCTAGAGCATAAAATAACATTCTGACATCAAACACTTCTCATTAAGCTTCTGCTAATTACAACAAGTCCTACCCAGAGTTCAGCCCTGCAAAGATCCTAAGGGCTTTTCTCAGCCCAACACCTAACTTATTATGTCATTCTATTAGTTTATCAAACCCTATGGCACAAAACCTACCTGTTACAGCACCCTGCGATTCTTATTATTATTATTTTTATTTTTATTTTTTCACTCAAGAAATTTTTTACATTGGGGCCCTTGAACGGCAACCTGACATCTCATAGGTAAACCTCAGGCCCCCAGAAGTCAGAAAAATTTCTCTGATTTGCATGAAAAACTCTGAGAATTCAGTTTTTTTTTTTTTTTTAGTGAGGTTTGTTAAAATCAGAGATTTTTTGGCCCCAACTCTGTAATTTTCAGAGAAATTTTAGAGCTAACTCTGACTTTTCAGAGTTTTCCGGGAGTGTACTCTGATCACTCAGAGTACAAACGCGTACCAAATCCGTTTTCTGCTTGTGTTCTTGACTGGTGATTCGGTTCGGACTTCACAAGTCAATGGAAAATCGGCTTGAAACTGCAAATCCGCGCCTTACAGCACAAGATTTTCGGGCAATCACAGAAAAATCACCCTGACACATCGGGTTTGCGCTGTCAGAGCACAATGATTTCGACCAATCACCAAGAATTTCTACCTGACATTGCAGATTCGCCCTTTCACTCCACAAGATTCGTTATGACACAGAAATTCGCCCTGTCAGAGCATGTTCTCCCGAAAATTCCCTTAGCCTACCATGTTTCAGTATCAGATGAAGCATTGAATACATTTCCGGTGAAACATTAGATATATTGATGTTTCAGACTTTTTTATTATGGCACTCTGAAATTTCAGCCTTTTTTTTTTTATACCAACTCTGAGGGTTTCAGACTAAAATCGTGTACTAGTCTGATGAATGAGACAGGCCAAAAACGAATCTGAGGGCCTGGTAAACCTGCAAGTACCGGTAAGTAGCTCTTTGGGCAAAGTGACACCCCAGATCTTGTAGAAATCTGGTCTGCTCTGATACTTGTAATATGTGAGGGACCCAACCCACGCAATGCGGAATGACCTATGGTAGATCCCCTGTTATGAAGCCAAATGATAGTGAGTGGCAAACAGTTGGCCGTTGCTGTATTGGATATCGCTACATTTGCCCATGTGTCAAAGTACTGGTACCACAAAAACCTGGCAATGGTTGATGCTGCATGCATTCTTTGACGGGCACTTGTGTTACTGTGTGCTGCCCTGGCATACCCAGATGACTTTCACATCAGACTACAGGCGTGTTGCATACGGTCACATAGAATGGTAATACGGTACTCGAGTGCGGTAGCTGTGCGTGCAGATTGAGAGGGGCACGCAGCTGAAGCACGGTACAAAGTAGGCTACAAGTTGCAGGTTGTAGTAGCGTAGGCCTTGGCAGTAGTGAGGTGAGGGGCATCAGGTGGTGGCATGGGAGAGAGTGCGATTGGCGTGCAGCAGCTGTGCATAGGCTGCCTGCAGGCGAGGCACGTCCGACAGGCGCAGCTGCTCTCCCCCACGTGGCAGGCATCCATGGGGTCATGCGGTGAGGAGGAGTGGGGTTAGGTGAAGGGCATGCAGTGGGACAGGATACAGAAGCAGGAGTGGCTGATTATTCAACGTATGACATCGCAGGGAAAGCCAGTGGCACGAGGAAGGGCATTAGCGCAAGATGAGAAAGAGAGGGTCACCTGGTTGGCGGATCGCAGGTGGTAAAGCGCGTGCACTGGTGGGGGGCACTTGTCTGTGTCCATGGCTTCATGCCTGTCACCACAACACATGGGGGCACGGACATGTGGTGAGTGTGAGTGTGAATAAGGAGAATGAGAAGGGCGAGACTCATGCTGCACTCACGTACTGGACACTTCACCTCGAATGGAGGCATCTGTGCCTCTGACCTGTGACAACTCACATGCTCTCACCGCCCTGCCTCCCACTGCTGCCCCTCCCTCCGGTGCCCCTCCCACCGGTGTCCCTCCCACCGGTGTCCCTCCCACCGGTGTCCCTCCCACCGGTGTCCCTCCCACCGGTGTCCCTCCCACCGGTGTCCCTCCCACCGGTGTCCCTCCCACCGGTGCCCCTCCCACCGGTGCCCCTCCCACCGGTGTCCCTCCCACCGGTGTCCCTCCCACCGGTGTCCCTCCCACCGGTGTCCCTCCCACCGGTGTCCCTCCCACCGGTGTCCCTCCCACCGGTGTACCTCCCACCGGTGTACCTCCCACCGGTGTCCCTCCCACCGGTGTCCCTCCCACCGGTGCCCCTCCCACCGGTGCCCCTCCCACCGGTGTCCCTCCCACCGGTGTCCCTCCCACCGGTGTCCCTCCCACCGGTGTCCCTCCCACCGGTGTCCCTCCCACCGGTGTCCCTCCCACCGGTGTCCCTCCCACCGGTGTCCCTCCCACCGGTGTCCCTCCCACCGGTGTCCCTCCCACCGGTGTCCCTCCCACCGGTGCCCCTCCCACCGGTGCCCCTCCCACCGGTGCCCCTCCCACCGGTGCCCCTCCCACCGGTGTCCCTCCCACCGGTGTACCTCCCACCGGTGCCCCTCCCACCGGTGCCCCTCCCACCGGTGTCCCTCCCACCGTTGTCCCTCCCACCGTTGTCCCTCCCACCGGTGTCCCTCCCACCGGTGTCCCTCCCACCGGTGTCCCTCCCACCGGTGTCCCTCCCACCGGTGTCCCTCCCACCGGTGTCCCTCCCACCGGTGTCCCCTCCCACCGGTGCCCCTCCCACCGGTGTCCCTCCCACCGGTGTCCCCTCCCACCGGTGTCCCTCCCACCGGTGTCCCTCCCACCGGTGTCCCTCCCACCGGTGTCCCTCCCACCGGTGTCCCTCCCACCGGTGTCCCTCCCACCGGTGTCCCTCCCACCGGTGTCCCTCCCACCGGTGTCCCTCCCACCGGTGTCCCTCCCACCGGTGTCCCTCCCACCGGTGGCCCCTCCCACCGGTGTCCCCTCCCACCGGTGCCCCTCCCACCGGTGCCCCTCCCACCGGTGCCCCTCCCACCGGTGCCCCTCCCACCGGTGCCCCTCCCACCGGTGTCCCCTCCCACCGGTGTCCCTCCCACCGGTGTCCCTCCCACCGGTGTCCCTCCCACCGTGTCCCTCCCACCGGTGTCCCTCCCACCGGTGTCCCTCCCACCGGTGCCCCTCCCACCGGTGCCCCTCCCACCGGTGCCCCTCCCACCGGTGCCCCTCCCACCGGTGTCCCTCCCACCGGTGTCCCTCCCACCGGTGTCCCTCCCACCGGTGCCCCTCCCACCGGTGCCACCTCCCACCGGTGCCCCTCCCACCGGTGCCCCTCCCACCGGTGCCCCTCCCACCGGTGCCCCTCCCACCGGTGTCCCTCCCACCGGTGTCCCTCCCACCGGTGTCCCTCCCACCGGTGCCCCTCCCACCGGTGCCCCTCCCACCGGTGCCCCTCCCACCGGTGCCCCTCCCACCGGTGCCCCCTCCCACCGGTGCCCCTCCCACCGGTGTCCCTCCCACCGGTGTCCCTCCCACCGGTGTCCCTCCCACCGGTGTCCCTCCCACCGGTGTCCCTCCCACCGGTGTCCCTCCCACCGGTGCCCCTCCCACCGGTGCCCCTCCCACCGGTGCCCCTCCCACCGGTGCCCCTCCCACCGGTGTCCCTCCCACCGGTGTACCTCCCACCGGTGCCCCTCCCACCGGTGCCCCTCCCACCGGTGCCCCTCCCACCGTTGTCCCTCCCACCGTTGTCCCTCCCACCGGTGTCCCTCCCACCGGTGTCCCTCCCACCGGTGTACCTCCCACCGGTGTCCCTCCCACTGGTGTCCCTCCCACCGGTGTCCCTCCCACCGGTGCCCCTCCCACCGGTGCCCCTCCCACCGGTGCCCCTCCCACCGGTGTCCCACCGGTGTCCCTCCCACCGGTGTCCCTCCCACCGGTGTCCCTCCCACCGGTGTCCCTCCCACCGGTGTCCCTCCCACCGGTGTCCCTCCCACCGGTGTCCCTCCCACCGGTGTCCCTCCCACCGGTGTCCCTCCCACCGGTGTCCCTCCCACCGGTGTCCCTCCCACCGGTGTCCCTCCCACCGGTGTCCCTCCCACCGGTGTCCCTCCCACCGGTGTCCCTCCCACCGGTGCCCCTCCCACCGGTGCCCCTCCCACCGGTGCCCCTCCCACCGGTGCCCCTCCCACCGGTGCCCCTCCCACCGGTGCCCCTCCCACCGGTGTCCCTCCCACCGGTGTCCCTCCCACCGGTGTCCCTCCCACCGGTGTCCCTCCCACCGGTGTCCCTCCCACCGGTGTCCCTCCCACCGGTGCCCCTCCCACCGGTGCCCCTCCCACCGGTGCCCCTCCCACCGGTGCCCCTCCCACCGGTGTCCCCTCCCACCGGTGTCCCTCCCACCGGTGTCCCTCCCACCGGTGCCCCTCCCACCGGTGCCCCCTCCCACCGGTGCCCCTCCCACCGGTGCCCCTCCCACCGGTGCCCCTCCCACCGGTGCCCCCTCCCACCGGTGTCCCTCCCACCGGTGTCCCTCCCACCGGTGTCCCTCCCACCGGTGCCCCTCCCACCGGTGCCCCTCCCACCGGTGCCCCTCCCACCGGTGCCCCTCCCACCTGTGCCCCTCCCACCGGTGTCCCTCCCACCGGTGTCCCTCCCACCGGTGTCCCTCCCACCGGTGTCCCTCCCACCGGTGTCCCTCCCACCGGTGTCCCTCCCACCGGTGTCCCTCCCACCGGTGTCCCTCCCACCGGTGTCCCTCCCACCGGTGTCCCTCCCACCGGTGTCCCTCCCACCGGTGTCCCTCCCACCGGTGTCCCTCCCACCGGTGTCCCTCCCACCGGTGTCCCTCCCACCGGTGTCCCTCCCACCGGTGTCCCTCCCACCGGTGTCCCTCCCACCGGTGTCCCAGTGCCCGGTGCCCCTCCCACCGGTGCCCCTCCCACCGGTGCCCCTCCCACCGGTGCCCCTCCCACCGGTGCCCCTCCCACCGGTGCCCCTCCCACCGGTGCCCCTCCCACCGGTGCCCCTCCCACCGGTGCCCCTCCCACCGGTGCCCCTCCCACCGGTGCCCCTCCCACCGGTGCCCCTCCCACCGGTGCCCCTCCCACCGGTGTCCCTCCCACCGGTGTCCCTCCCACCGTTGTCCCTCCCACCGGTGTCCCTCCCACCGGTGTCCCTCCCACCGGTGTCCCTCCCACCGGTGTCCCTCCCACCGGTGTCCCTCCCACCGGTGTCCCTCCCACCGGTGTCCCTCCCACCGGTGTCCCTCCCACCGGTGTCCCTCCCACCGGTGTCCCTCCCACCGGTGTCCCTCCCACCGGTGTCCCTCCCACCGGTGTCCCTCCCACCGGTGTCCCTCCCACCGGTGTCCCTCCCACCGGTGTCCCTCCCAGCCATGCGTGTCTCACCGGTGAGCGAGGGCAACGAGGCGGTGGTAGTCAGCGAGCATGGCAGCAATGTCTCGCATGCACAGCGCTGCCACCTCACTCCGCACCAGATGTGCCCTCGCAGCCTCCACAGCCGCTACCTGCACCACACAGGGGGGAAGGGAGATGGAGCAGGCGAGATACATAGAGACCAAAACTGCACCACGCACTGACTCCCACCACTAAATTCTATTTCTCCTTCAAGACACAGTGACTGAGATGGGAAGAAGGAACAAGTAAGAAAGGGGAAGGAAGAGAGACGTGAGAGGAAGGGACGGATGGAAAGAGTCAAACCATTGAACAAACGAAGGAGTCAGTGAGGGAGAGGGGGAGAACCAGGAAACTGGTAACGGGCAGCGTACTGCCCATTGCTGGGAGGGTTGAGGGTGTGTGGGCAGTGCAGCATGAGATGTGGGTGAGAGTGACAGCATGGCTCCCACGGTACCCGCACTCACCTTGCTGCTGCCTGCACGCCCTGTGCCCTCTGCCTCCCCTCGACCCACTCCTCCTGCTCTCCCCACGTTCTCCTCGCTTCCTTGCTCCCTTGCCCCTTCGCTCTCTCCCACCACTGCCCCTCCTGCCACATCATCCCCACCCATCCCCACCAGCCCCCCTGCCCCAGGCCCCTGCGTGCCCTCCCCATCATCACGCCCTCCCACACTGCCCGTGTGCTCCCCACCGTGCCCTTGTCCCGCCAGCGCCACGACGCGCCTGCCCAGGGCCACCAGCGCAGCATCGTCCACGGCCGGGCCCGCCAGGGGGACCACGGCCACGGACGACGTGGGCGGGTGGGGTGCGGCGGAGGAGGCGAGCGAGGGCGCCTTGAGGCCCGCCCTGCGATGCAGATCCGCCAGCTGGTGCAGTAGCTCGCGCTGCCAGGCGCGAGGAGAATGGGGGGGAAAGGGGAGAGGCGGGAAGTGAGAGGGGGAAGGAAGCAAACAGATGAACAGGGAGTGGGGGAGGATTGAGTTGGACACAGGCGAGATGATCCAGATCGAACAAGCAACAGTACTAGAGAAGCAAACAGGTAACCACCCCTATCCATCCCCTTCCCCCCACTCCCTCCTGCATGGTCCACGTGCACGCAGCCATGCATAGCCCTGGAACCCAACCGCCATGCCCCCCCCTTCCCCCATGCCGAACCTCCTCGGCGGCCTTGTTGAGTTCAGCGCCCACGGCGCCAGCAGCGTCCGCCACCACGGTGGCGGCGGCGGCAGCAGCGGAGGCGGCGGGTGCGAGGATCTGCGCCACCAGGCTGTCGTTGAACCGCCGCGCCGCCGACGCCGCTGCGGACGCTGCCGCTGCCGCCGCTGCGGAAGACGGCAGCAGGCCGAACGTGGGTGCGGGCACGGCGGAGGGGGCAGTGGATGGGGTGGGCGCGGGCGACGGCGACCCCATGCCGCCTGCGACAGCTGATGCCTGGCGGATGGCTGCTTCCAGTGCCACGCGCTTGGAGCACAGCTGCTCGTCCCTCACTGCCCACGGGTCGTCTGAGACGGGGCAGTGGCGGGTGCGCGTTGGGGAAACGGTGGAAGAAATGAGGGATGAAGTTAGGCGGGAGTGTGGAATGTGGAGCAGCATGGGTTACGGGACGATGTGTTTGCTGCAGGGCTTATTACTGCCAGTACACGTGTGAAAGGCGCAGCGCACACAAGCATGGCGTGCAGCCCCTCTGCGTTGCATCCACTGTACATGACTTTCCTTTATGACGAGATGCCCAATGCTTCACGTCAAACTAGCGCTTAGCAAGCATGGCACGTCAGACTCCTTGCACGAGCCACGCAGACGAGAGCATGTATGAGCACGTCTGCCCACACACCCACCTGCAGGCACGAGCCACCACACATCCTCGAACGTGGTCTTGCCGTCAAACCCCCCCACACAAACGAACCGCGAGCCGACAGCTGTGACGGTGTGATATGCCCTTGGCGGTGGGGGGCCGCCTGCTGCGGCCAGCTGCTTCCAGTGCACCGTGGCTGGTGGGGGGGGGACGAGAGACGCCGTTGAGAATGGGAGATGAAACACGCTACGAAGAAAGAGAGAGAAAAGAGGGTGGGAGGTGACAGGGCCCCGGTGAGGCGCGGGGTGTGTGGTGGAAGGGCAACAGGGAGCAACAATGAACCAGACGGAGACCACACCTGGGCTTGCATTAGGGATAAAAAGGATGCGTGACCCACAACGGCACGCCTGGTCTGACAAGCATGCATGGTTTGACAAGCATGCATGGTTTGACAAGCATGCATGGTTTGACAAGCACGCATGGTTTGACAAGCATGCATGGTTAGACAAGCATGCATGGTTTGACAAGCACGCATGGTTTGACAAGCATGCATGGTTTGACAAGCATGCATGGTTTGACAAGCATGCATGGTTTGACAAGCATGCATGGTTTGACAAGCATGCATGGTTTGACAAGCACGCATGGTTTGACAAGCACGCATGGTTTGACAAGCATGCATGGTTTGACAAGCATGCATGGTTTGACAAGAACGCATGGTTTGACAAGCACGCATGGTTTGACAAGCACGCATGGTTTGACAAGCATGCATGGTTTGACAAGCATGCATGGTTTGACAAGCACGCATGGTTTGAGAGGCATGCATGGTTTGACAAGCATGCATGGTTTGACAAGCATGCATGGTTTGACAAGCATGCATGGTTTGACAAGCATGCATGGTTTGACAAGCATGCATGGTTTGACAAGCATGCATGGTTTGACAAGCACGCATGGTTTGACAAGCACGCATGGTTTGACAAGCACGCATGGTTTGACAAGCACGCATGGTTTGACAAGCACGCATGGTTTGACAAGCACGCATGGTTTGACAAGCATGCATGGTTTGACAAGCATGCATGGTTTGACAAGCATGCATGGTTTAACAAGCACGCATGGTTTGACAAGCATGCATGGTTTGACAAGCATGCATGGTTTGACAAGCATGCATGGTTTGACAAGCACGCATGGTTTGACAAGCATGCATGGTTAGACAAGCATGCATGGTTTGACAAGCACGCATGGTTTGACAAGCATGCATGGTTTGACAAGCATGCATGGTTTGACAAGCATGCATGGTTTGACAAGCATGCATGGTTTGACAAGCATGCATGGTTTGACAAGCACGCATGGTTTGACAAGCACGCATGGTTTGACAAGCATGCATGGTTTGACAAGCATGCATGGTTTGACAAGAACGCATGGTTTGACAAGCACGCATGGTTTGACAAGCACGCATGGTTTGACAAGCATGCATGGTTTGACAAGCATGCATGGTTTGACAAGCATGCATGGTTTGACAAGCATGCATGGTTTGACAAGCATGCATGGTTTGACAAGCATGCATGGTTTGACAAGCATGCATGGTTTGACAAGCATGCATGGTTTGACAAGAATGCATGGTTTGACAAGCATGCATGGTTTGACAAGCATGCATGGTTTGACAAGCACGCATGGTTTGAGAAGCATGCATGGTTTGACAAGCATGCATGGTTTGACAAGCACGCATGGTTTGACAAGCACGCATGGTTTGACAAGCACGCATGGTTTGACAAGCACGCATGGTTTGACAAGCACGCATGGTTTGACAAGCACGCATGGTTTGACAAGCATGCATGGTTTGACAAGCATGCATGGTTTGACAAGCATGCATGGTTTAACAAGCACGCATGGTTTGACAAGCATGCATGGTTTGACAAGCATGCATGGTTTGACAAGCACGCATGGTTTGACAAGCATGCATGGTTTGACAAGCACGCATGGTTTGACAAGCATGCATGGTTTGTTTGACAAGCATGCATGGTTTGACAAGCATGCATGGTTTGACAAGCACGCATGGTTTGACAAGCACGCATGGTTTGACAAGCATGCATGGTTTGACAAGCATGCATGGTTTGACAAGCATGCATGGTTTGACAAGCACGCATGGTTTGACAAGCATGCATGGTTTGACAAGCACGCATGGTTTGACAAGCATGCATGGTTTGTTTGACAAGCATGCATGGTTTGACAAGCATGCATCGTTTGACAAGCATGCATCGTTTGACAAGCATGCATGGTTTGACAAGCATGCATGGTTTGACAAGCATGCATGGTTTGACAAGCATGCATGGTTTGACAAGCATGCATGGTTTGACAAGCACGCATGGTTTGACAAGCATGCATGGTTTGACAAGCATGCATGGTTTGACAAGCATGCATGGTTTGACAAGCATGCATGGTTTGACAAGCATGCATGGTTTGACAAGCACGCATGGTTTGACAAGCACGCATGGTTTGACAAGCACGCATGGTTTGACAAGCATGCATGGTTTGACAAGCACGCATGGTTTGACAAGCATGCATGGTTTGACAAGCATGCATGGTTTGACAAGCATGCATGGTTTGACAAGCATGCATGGTTTGACAAGCATGCATGGTTTGACAAGCATGCATGGTTTGACAAGCATGCATGGTTTGACAAGCACGCATGGTTTGACAAGCACGCATGGTTTGACAAGCATGCATGGTTTGACAAGCATGCATGGTTTGACAAGCATGCATGGTTTGACAAGCATGCATGGTTTGACAAGCATGCATGGTTTGACAAGCATGCTTGGTTTGACAAGCATGCATGGTTTGACAAGCATGCATTGTTTGACAAGCATGCTTGGTTTGACAAGCATGCATGGTTTGACAAGCATGCATGGTTTGACAAGCATGCATGGTTTGACAAGCATGCATGGTTTGACAAGCACGCATGGTTTGACAAGCACGCATGGTTTGACAAGCACGCATGGTTTGACAAGCACGCATGGTTTGACAAGCACGCATGGTTTGACAAGCATGCATGGTTTGACAAGCATGCATGGTTTGACAAGCATGCATGGTTAGACAAGCATGCATGGTTTGACAAGCATGCATGGTTTGACAAGCATGCATGGTTTGACAAGCATGCATGGTTTGACAAGCATGCATGGTTTGACAAGCATGCATGGTTTGACAAGCATGCATGGTTTGACAAGCATGCATGGTTTGACAAGCAGGCATGGTTTGACAAGCACGCATGGTTTGACAAGCACGCATGGTTTGACAAGCACGCATGGTTTGACAAGCACGCATGGTTTGACAAGCACGCATGGTTTGACAAGCACGCATGGTTTGACTAGCACACATGGTTTGACAAGCATGCATGGTTTGACAAGCATGCATGGTTTGACAAGCATGCATGGTTTGACAAGCATGCATGGTTTGACAAGCATGCATGGTTTGACAAGCATGCATGGTTTGACAAGCATGCATGGTTTGACAAGCATGCATGGTTTGACAAGCATGCATGGTTTGACAAGCATGCTTGGTTTGACAAGCATGCATGGTTTGACAAGCATGCATGGTTAGACAAGCAGGCATGGTTAGACAAGCACGCATGGTTTGACAAGCACGCATGGTTTGACAAGCATGCATGGTTTGACAAGCATGCATGGTTTGACAAGCATGCATGGTTTGACAAGCATGCATGGTTTGACAAGCATGCATGGTTTGACAAGCATGCATGGTTTGACAAGCATGCATGGTTTGACAAGCACGCATGGTTTGACAAGCATGCATGGTTTGACAAGCATGCATGGTTTGACAAGCATGCATGGTTTGACAAGCATGCATGGTTTGACAAGCATGCATGGTTTGACAAGCATGCATGGTTTGACAAGCATGCATGGTTTGACAAGCATGCATGGTTTGACAAGCACGCATGGTTTGACAAGCATGCATGGTTTGACAAGCACGCATGGTTTGACAAGCATGCATGGTTTGACAAGCACGCATGGTTTGACAAGCATGCATGGTTTGACAAGCATGCATGGTTTGACAAGCATGCATGGTTTGACAAGCATGCATGGTTTGACAAGCATGCATGGTTTGACAAGCATGCATGGTTTGACAAGCATGCATGGTTTGACAAGCATGCATGGTTTGACAAGCATGGTTTGACAGCATGCATGGTTTGACAAGCATGCATGGTTTGACAAGCATGCATGGTTTGACAAGCACGCATGGTTTGACAAGCACGCATGGTTTGACAAGCACGCATGGTTTGACAAGCACGCATGGTTTGACAAGCACGCATGGTTCGACAAGCATGCATGGTTTGACAAGCATGCATGGTTTGACAAGCATGCATGGTTTGACAAGCATGCATGGTTAGACAAGCATGCATGGTTTGACAAGCATGCATGGTTTGACAAGCATGCATGGTTTGACAAGCATGCATGGTTTGACAAGCATGCATGGTTTGACAAGCATGCATGGTTTGACAAGCATGCATGGTTTGACAAGCATGCTTGGTTTGACAAGCATGCATGGTTTGACAAGCATGCATGGTTAGACAAGCATGCATGGTTTGACAAGCACGCATGGTTTGACAAGCACACATGGTTTGACAAACATGCATGGTTTGACAAGCATGCATGGTTTGACAAGCATGCATGGTTTGACAAGCATGCATGGTTTGACAAGCATGCATGGTTTGACAAGCATGCATGGTTTGACAAGCATGCATGGTTTGACAAGCATGCATGGTTTGACAAGCATGCATGGTTTGACAAGCATGCATGGTTTGACAAGCATGCATGGTTTGACAAGCATGCATGGTTTGACAAGCATGCATGGTTTGACAAGCACGCATGGTTTGACAAGCATGCATGGTTTGACAAGCATGCATGGTTTGACAAGCATGCATGGTTTGACAAGCATGCATGGTTTGACAAGCATGCATGGTTTGACAAGCATGCATGGTTTGACAAGCATGCATGGTTTGACAAGCATGCATGGTTTGACAAGCATGCATGGTTTGACAAGCATGCATGGTTTGACAAGCACGCATGGTTTGACAAGCATGCATGGTTTGACGAGCATGCATGGTTTGACAAGCACGCATGGTTTGACAAGCACGCATGGTTTGACAAGCACGCATGGTTTGACAAGCACGCATGGTTTGACAAGCACGCATGGTTTGACAAGCATGCATGGTTTGACAAGCATGCATGGTTTGACAAGCATTTATGGTTACACAAGCATGCATGGTTTGACAAGCATGCATGGTTTGACAAGCATGCATGGTTTGACAAGCATGCATGGTTTGACAAGCATGCATGGTTTGACAAGCATGCATGGTTTGACAAGCATGCATGGTTTGACAAGCATGCATGGTTTGACAAGCATGCATGGTTTGACAAGCATGCATGGTTTGACAAGCATGCATGGTTTGACAAGCAGGCATGGTTTGACAAGCACGCATGGTTTGACAAGCACGCATGGTTTGACAAGCACGCATGGTTTGACAAGCACGCATGGTTTGACAAGCACGCATGGTTTGACAAGCACGCATGGTTTGACAAGCATGCATGGTTTGACAAGCATGCATGGTTTGACAAGCATGCATGGTTTGACAAGCATGCATGGTTTGACAAGCATGCATGGTTTGACAAGCATGCATGGTTTGACAAGCATGCATGGTTTGACAAGCATGCATGGTTTGACAAGCATGCATGGTTTGACAAGCATGCATGGTTTGACAAGCATGCATGGTTTGACAAGCACGCATGGTTTGACAAGCACGCATGGTTTGACAAGCACGCATGGTTTGACAAGCACGCATGGTTTGACAAGCACGCATGGTTTGACAAGCACGCATGGTTTGACAAGCATGCATGGTTTGACAAGCATGCATGGTTTGACAAGCATGCATGGTTTGACAAGCACGCATGGTTAGACAAGCATGCATGGTTTGACAAGCATGCATGGTTTGACAAGCATGCATGGTTTGACAAGCATGCATGGTTTGACAAGCATGCATGGTTTGACAAGCATGCATGGTTTGACAAGCAAGCATGCATGGTTTGACAAGCATGCATGGTTTGACAAGCATGCATGGTTTGACAAGCATGCATGGTTTGACAAGCAGGCATGGTTTGACAAGCACGCATGGTTTGACAAGCACGCATGGTTTGACAAGCACGCATGGTTTGACAAGCACGCATGGTTTGACAAGCACGCATGGTTTGACAAGCACGCATGGTTTGACAAGCATGCATGGTTTGACAAGCATGCATGGTTTGACAAGCATGCATGGTTTGACAAGCATGCATGGTTTGACAAGCATGCATGGTTTGACAAGCACGCATGGTTTGACAAGCATGCATGGTTTGACAAGCATGCATGGTTTGACAAGCATGCATGGTTTGACAAGCATGCATGGTTTGACAAGCATGCATGGTTTGACAAGCACGCATGGTTTGACAAGCACGCATGGTTTGACAAGCATGCATGGTTTGACAAGCACACATGGTTTGACAAGCATGCACGGTTTGACAAGCATGCATGGTTTGACAAGCATGCATGGTTTGACAAGCATGCATGGTTTGACAAGCATGCATGGTTTGACAAGCATGCATGGTTTGACAAGCATGCATGGTTTGACAAGCATGCATGGTTTGACAAGCATGCATGGTTTGACAAGCATGCATGGTTTGATAAGCATGCATGGTTTGACAAGCATGCATGGAGTGCACCTCTGTCGATGAAAGCGATGTCATTGGCATAGGTGTCGGTGCGCGTGAGCCAGCCCGCCTGGCAGTGACCGCCAAACACCAGCATCTGCACGGCACATGGGGAGGGCAGAACGACGCACATGGAGAGATGGGAGGCGCGTTGGAGGTGCAGGTCAACATGTAACCATTCTGTCATGGCTATTTGTGTGTGTGTGTGTGTGTGTGTGTGTGTGTGTGTGTGTGTGTGTGTGTGTGTGTGTGTGTGTGTGTGTGCGTGTGTGTGAATGGGAGTGCACCTGTGTGCGAGTGAGCGTGCCGCTGTGGCCACATCTGGGAGTGGGGACGTTGCCGGGAAGCTTCAGCTGCGTCCAGTGGCCTTGGATGGTGTCCGTACCTGCAGGGGGCGCCACAGGCACGACACACGGCAGGCAGGGAGGGACAAATGGGATTGAAACGCATGAGATGTTTGTGATGAAGCATGGCAGGGAAAGCAGTGCAGAGAGAATGAGGATGTATCGGAGACAGAATGATGATGAGCAGGTGCTGCATAGAGAAGGTGAGCAGGAGACGTGAGAGCAGGGGCACGCAGCACGTGTGTGCTGACCTGGCATCTGTGGTTGAGGGGCGATGGGTGCGTCGATTCCTTTGAGCGTCCATAAGTCATTCAGCATCGACCCTCCTGTGCCTGCTCCCCATTGCATTCCATGCGCGCCCCCCACCCCCTCCCTCCCGCCCTCTCCACGCTCCATACACACACCATCACACACACACATCCTCACGCAAACAAGGACATGCAGACACACAGCATACACATGCACAAGAAACACAGACGCATGGATGCAGATGGGTTGCACCAGCACAGCATAGCAGTCAGTGTCCGCGCACTGCCCCACCCCACGTGCTGCCCCACCCCACCCCAACCACCCAACTGCCATAACCCTTCGGAACCCACAGCACTCATCCATCCCAGATGTGCTTGCCCGCCCCCCTCACCCCACCCCTCCCCTCACCCCTCCCCTCACCCCTCCCCTTACCCCTCCCCTCACCCCTCCCCTCACCCCTCCCCTCACCCCTCCCCTCACCCCTCCCCTCACCCCTCCCCTCACCCCTCCCCTCACCCCTCCCCTCACCCCTCCCCTCACCCCTTACCCCACCCCATGTCCCCCCAGCGCTGACCGCGGCCGGCGAAGATGAGGAGGCGGTTGTTGAAGACGGAGGCTGTGTGGCCACAGCGCGGGGGGGGCACGCTAGCCGGCAGCGCCACCAGCACCTGCTGCCACTCCAACGACACTGCATGCCGTGGGGGGGGATACGGGTGGGGAGGGCGTGGGGGAAGGGAGAAGGGAGGGGCGGCCAAAGGGACAGTGTGGGGGGGGGCAACGGGAGAGGGGGGGTGGGGGGAAAGGGAGAGGGGAGGGGGGGGCAAAGGGAGGCAGAAAGGGGGGTCAAAAGGAGAGGGGAGGGGGAGGCAAAGGGAGAGGGGAGGGGGGGGCAAAGGGAGAGGGTATGGGGAGGGGGAGGAGGGACAGGGAGAGGGGAGGGGGGCGGAAGGGGGAGGGGGAGGGGGAAGGGGAGAGCATGTGATGGGGAATGGAGAAGTAAGCGAGGGCAGCGGAGCTTTAAAGAAACAGCAACAGATGGGTGAGCAGAAGGTTCATGACACGGGCATCACTGCACACGATTGATGGCATGGGGGAGAGGTTGACAAGACACGTAAGGAGCGAGCGAATGAGAGAGCAGGGTGAGAAGGCGAGCAGGTGGGAGAAAGAGGTGCAAAGGTGGCGCTGCATGGGGCGCATGGGCGCTGGGTGGGTGGGTGGGTGGGTGTGCGCACTGGTGTCGAGGATGTAGGTGTCGTTGAGGAAGCGCGTGCCATCCCAACCCCCATGGCTGCACGCAGCACAGGACAGCGGGCGGGCACGGGCAAGGTGCAAAAAAACGACGTTTTTTTTCATTTTTTTTGTCGTTATTTTCAATATCGTACCGTACTATCGTTTAAAACGGATAAAAACGATAAAACTATTTAAATAAGTTTGGGTGCAAAAAAACAATAGTTTTTTTGGGTTACGGCAACGTAGCACACAGGATTGGTGGAAGTCGTGGCTTGAACCAATCACCCACACATATTCAGCCTTCCCGCACGTGCAGAGTGTGCCAGATTCCGACCTGTTGTGATCAGATTGGTGGCAGGGGATTTGTTTTGAGTTTTTTTTTTGTGTGTTTTTTTTTGGGCCTAAAAAAAAAAAAAACGTTTTTTCCCCAAACAGGACCGAAAGAATCAATCGTTCTTTTCAATCGTTTTTGTTCGCAACCGTTTTTTTCCACCTTGGGCACGGGGGACGGCATTGAGGGGCAGGCAGAGCAAGGATGAGGGGAGCATATGATAGTGGGAATGAGAGGGAGACGAGTGCAACGAGATAAGAGGACGATATTCATCTCAATGTTGTGGGTAGTTGGTAATGGTGAGGGTGAGAGGGGAGGCGCAGGCACAGAAGAGGGAGAGAGCGATGGAAATGGGAAGTAAGAGATACGGGATGGGAGGGGTATGGAGAGAGAGGGAGGGATGCAAGGAGGAGGGGAAAAATGAGTGGAGCGTACAGTATGAGGCGCGAGGAGCCAAAGGCAACGAGCGATGCAAAGTCACGCGCGCAGGGAGGGGTGCCGCCACACGGCAGCTGCGCCCACTGCCATGTGTCTGATGGGCAGGGGTGAGCACAGGTGGGTGCGGGGACGAGTGCAGCACAGGTGGTGTGAGAGGAGGAGTGGTGTGAATGTGGGCGCGCATGGGAAGGAAGGAGGGGGGGTTGCAGTTGCATGCATGATGAGGAGCAGATGCAGGCGCCAGGAGAAGCAGGGAGGGCAATGACGGCAGTGGAGGGCGTGACATGGGGGCGCGTGTGGGCGGAGAGCACGCACCTGTGTCTAGCATCCAAAAATCACTGAGCCTGCACAGGGGCAGAGGGCACGAGACAGTGGGCACGTAAGACAGTGGGCACAATGGGTGCAGCACAGTATTGCAGGTTTGCTTGCAGCATGAAACTCTGTTGGCCGTCTGTCATCATGCTCTCACCACGACCGCCCTGTGCGCTGTGCAAACGCAACCACCTCCCCCTGCCATTGCTCACTCTTCCCCCCTATCCTCACCGCACCACACCACCACCTGTGAATCACAAACAGTCGCCACTCTGCAAAGCGCGGAGGTGAGAGCGCACCTCTTCTTGCCTGAGCGACCACCGAACACAAACATGTTGCCGCCCTCGATGGCAGCAGCTGCATGGAACGCCCGTGCACACGGCCGCACCCTGCTCTCCCACTCTTCCTCACCTCCCCTCAGCTCCTCCCCTTCCCCCCCCTCTCCTGCCCCCCCACCGGCACCATCTCCCTGCCCAGCTGCCTCCTCCGCTGTGCCGCCCTTGCCTGCTTGGTCGCCGTGCCCCGCCTGCACGGGGCGAGTCCACTCGTTCGTCACTGCACCGGGGGTGGGTGACGGCGCGGGCAGAAATGACCATCACAAAACTATCAAGGTGGATCGTTTTTTAAGTGCAACGGAGAGTAACAACAGCGGTACATGGGGTAGGGAGTGACTGAAGCATTGCGATGCTGGGGTTTGTGCGGGACGGAGGTTGCGGAGAGGAAGGTTGGAGGGAAGGAGCGGGCAGGCAAGCGACGGGTAGGGCGCAGAGCAAAAGCTCGTGCCCCCCACAACAACATCTCCTTACCTTGAGATCCCTCCACACCCACCCTGCCTCACCCCTCCCCGCCTCTCTCTTTCCCTCAGCTCCCCTACCTGCCGTCATGCAGAGTGCATGTATATGTGCATGAAGCGCAGAGGGCAGGGCGCACCTGTGTCGAGCACGATGACATCGTCCAGGAAGTCCTTGTCCCGCAGCCCACCGAACAGCACCAGCTTGCACCGCTTCACCAGCACCGCCACGTGCCCGCTGCACACAGCAGCAGCGGCAGCAGCAGCACGGCGGTGGTGGTGGAGCGGCAATGCGCACAGGGGCGCACAGAGAAGGAAGGCGCACGGGGAAGGGGGCGAGGGGACCGGCGGTTGTTAAGTGGTTGTGGAAGCGCGGGAAGGGCAGTATACGCATGGCGAGTCAGCGAAGTGAGAGCGAGGGGAAGGGCGAGGGGAAGGGCGAGGGGAAGGGTTAGGGGAAACGTGACGGAACAAGGGGGCGCAGAAGACATGCACGCAAGCGAGGAGGCGCGCGCAGGGCGGGACAACGAGCGCGCGCCATGCGAATGGCTGCACGCCTCCCCGCCGCCGCGCTTGCGTGCAGGCCACTCGCAGGGGACAGTCGGGGGGCGGTAGAGGCGATAGGGACGAGGCCGAAGGGGTAGGGCTGCGGGGCGAGAACGGCTTTGCGAGAGCGGCGGGGCGAGAGCGGCTTTGTGAGAGCGGCGGGGCGAGAGCGGCAGCACCTTCTAGCGGAAGGCGGGTCGCCCGAGGCCATGGTGGAGGCGTGCTCCACCCATCGCATCATCGCCGCGCCCGCCTCCTCCTCGCTACTGCTCGCACGGCCTCGTCGCCCCTCGCGCAGTACGGCGTGTGTAGGGGAGGCGTGCAGTGCGGGAGGCGAGTGAAGTCGTGAACAGAGCACAGCGAGGCGTCTATTTGGAGTGGCGGCGCACGCGGTAGGCGTGTTGACCTTCAACCCGTCCCCGTGCTAGACAATCTATCCAGCACAAAAGTGGGCAAAGTTTACGGGTGATTATAAAACGAGTCACAAACGTCAATTTTTTGTTATCAAATTAGGGGGTGTCTCAATGTAGGAGAATTCTGACGGTCGGAATTCTCGATCCGAGGGCTGACATGCACCAACATCCACCGACATCCAGCGACATATGTCACTTCAGACACGCCCTTGGATGTTATCTCAATGGACAAGCGACTCTGCCCAGCGAAGCTAACCCCATACGGACTCGCATCCGATGAGGGATACATCTACCCTAAACACCTTCTGGCATGGTGTTTAGGGCGGGTCCGAAGTGAACGTGACATCCGTTGACATCCGATGTCGGTAAATTCTAACGGTTGGAACTCTGATCCGAGGGTTGACATTTACCGATATCCAGCGACATCCATCGACATCCATCGACGCTTCACTTCAAACACGCTCTTAGTATTGATGACTCCCTCGGATGTATGCCATCCGATGAGGTTTTAGTTATTTTCTGCCCGCATCCGATGGGGTTTTAGTTTTTTTCTGCCTGGGGTCAGCAAGGCGACGTAGGTCGATGGGTCGACGGAGGGTTGATGGAGCCGTCGACCCAATTCTATTAAGATATTCCATCACGGACGGTCACTCATGTATCATGAATCCTCACTAGATAATATGAAAAATGTTATAAATTGTAAAACAGAGTTGTGCATGTCAGAATGTTATTATCTAGCCTGTAGTGGGGTGCTCTATAGCGAGTACAACCCTGTTAGGGTTTGCTATATGTATCCCAACTACTGCTAGTGAAACCCCTTCCTTTCTTCACATTCCTCATTCTTTCACAAGCTATCAGAGCAGGTCGACCCTCCTGGGTCGTTCCTGTGTATGGGCCCACCACCTCATTGCTTCCGCTGCAACTGCTACTCTGTGTGCCGCACGCCCCGTGGCGTGCGACGGATTTTTCTTCCCGCCGCGCGCTCGGAGCGTGCGGCGGTTTTCTGCCTGCCGTGCGCCCCGGGGCGTGCGGCAGTTCTCTGCCTGCCGTGCGCCCCGGGGCGCGTGGCGGCTTTCTGCCACGTCGGTCCGCGCGTCGCCCCCGGGGGGCGCTTCGACGGGCGACGGGGACCAGCCCGTCGTCCCCGGTTGCCCGTCCCGGCCAGCGCGGGCTGCGCTAGCCCCGAGCGCGGCCCGTACGGGCTGCGCCAGGCCCGCGCGCGGTTCGTCTGGCTGTCCCAGGCCCGTGGGCGGCCCGTTCTTCTCTGCCCCTGAGCTGCCCGCTGTCCCCCATGCTTCTCACGGCGCCCCACCCCTGCTGCTGCCCGTTCTCCTGAATTAGGGTTTGGGGGTGGGGGGTATGGGGGTGCAGTTTCTCTGCGCCGTCCCCTGCTCCTCCTCCTCCTCCGTCTCCCAGTGCTGCAGCTGCCGCTGAGGGGGGTGGATGTGTTGTCTTGGAGCCGTCGGAGTGGTACGAGGGGGTGACATAGGAGTGGAGTTAGGGGTGAAGCAGTTAGGGTGTGTGTCAAGGGTGTGGGTCAGTTGGAGGAGGTTGTGTGGAGGTAGCTGTCGTGTCGCCTGCAGCGCCTGTAGTCCGTCGCCCTTGCTTCGGTAGCCCGTGAGCCTGTTGCACCAGTCGCCAGTGGGTCCGTTGCTCCTGCCGCTCGTCTTAGCCGCGGAGCCAGTCACTCCAGTAGTCCGTTGCCCTTGCTTCGGTAGCCACTGAGTCAGCCGCTCCTGTGCCCGTGCCTCTGCAGCTTCAGTCGTTGCCTCCCATCTTCTCTCCTTCCACAATTCCTCCTCCTCCTCACTTGCCCGCTGTGATTACCTCTAGATTTGCTTATTATTGTGAACTCCTGCTCATTGTACTGATTACACCCCACTTTGGCTATGGGGGTGTGTCAGAATGTTATTATCTAGCCAGTAGTGGGGTGCTCTATAGCGAGTACAACCCTGTTAAGGTTTGCTATATATATCCCAACTACTGCTAGTGAAACCCCTTCCTTTCTTCACATTCCTCATTCTTTCACAGTGCATGTCAAATGTTATATCTACCACAGTTTCTTTAGGCTGTAGTGGGGTAATTACTATGGGGTACAATACGTTTAGGGTTTCCTAATTGTACCCAACCATTTTCCTAGTGCAAACACTTCTCTCATTCTGACATGGTATTACGAGCCTAGGTTAGGAACCTAGGACCACTTACCTAAGGGCCCACCATTCTGCTAGAGGCGCCCTCGTGCGCCCCCAACGTCGTAGCGCCCTCGTGCGCCTCTCTCCTAGTGCGCCCTCGAGCGCCCTCTCTCTCACGCTGCCCGTTTGCAGCCCGAGCGCGGCCCCACGTTCTTAGCGCGAGCAGCCCGCTTGCCGCCAAGGGCGGCCCGATTTTTCTCGCGCGCGCCAGTAGGCCGTCGCCTGTAGGCCCCGCTCGCCCCTAGGCCGACGCTCGACCCACCGTCGCCCGCCCGCAGGTCGCAGCCCGTGCGCAGAGGCGATCGCGCGCCGGCTGCTACAGCTCGCGCTTAGCCGCCGCACGAACGCAGCCGCGGCCCGCGCGCAGCCGCACCCTAGGCGCCGCCGCGCACCGTGCATAGGCCCGCCGTCGCGCCGCCCTACCTGCCCGAGTCATGGCGCGCCGTCCTGCCCGAGTCGTGCCGCCCTTACCGAGCCACGCCGCCCCACCTGCAGCAACTGCTGCTCCTGTTCCTGCTGTTAGAGCTGTTCTTACTACTACAGCTGCTACTGCTACTGCTGTTACTGCTACTGCTGCTACTGCTACTGCTGCTACTGCTACTGCTGCCACCATGGCCAGTCCTACCGTTCTTACTTTTGACGCTGAGGGCCGTCCGATTAAGTTTGACGTTTGGCTCGATGACCTGCACCTGTTCCTCCAGATCACTGCCAAGGATGATGTTTCCCTGTTTAACCACACGTCTGGCGCCGCTCCCGCACCTGCTGCTACTGCTGACAGCACTGCTCGCTCACAATTGCAGACCCGTGACGCTCATGCTCGCCTAGCAGTTCGCAGCCACCTGCCGTTAGATGAGCGCGAGCACTTTGGCCAGCATAAGACCGCTAAGGAGTTGTACGATGCTGTAGTTACACGCTACTCCTCCCCTGCTACTGCTGCAATAGGCCGTCTCTCACTGCCCTATCTCTTCCCCGATCTGTCTGCCTTTGCCACTGTAGCTGACCTCATCACGCACCTCCGTACTAGTGATCTTCGCTACCGTGCCGCGCTTCCCCCAGATTTCCTAGCCAAGAACCCTCCCCCGATGTACCTCACACTCTACCACCTAGTCACCCGCCTCCCTGATTTTCTTCGCACTGTCAGGGACGACTTTCTCGCCCTCTCCCCCACTGACCTCACTGTCGACCTGCTCGAGAAGAAAATCCTAGCAGCTGAGAAGAGCATTGTAGCTGTAGGTGCCTCTCGTGGCGACCCTCGCACTCCCTTCTTTGAGGGGTGCTCCCCCGTCCCCCTCCTCCCCTCCATTGCAGCTGCTGCTGCTGTCGACTACCTCGGTGCTGAGGGGGTCGGGGCTGCGTCTGCTCCTAGTGGGAGGTGCAAGGGCGGCAGGGGCAAGGGGGGCAGGGGTGGCGGAGGTGGCGGCGGGGGCGGCGGTGGTGGAGAGGGTGGAGGCGGCGGGGGTGGTGGCGGTGGTGGGAGTGGTGCTGGTGGTGGGGGGGTCAGTGGCGGAGCCGGGGGTGGTGGCGGCGGCGGTGGTGGGGGTGGCGGGGGTGGTGGTGGCAGTGGTGGCTGTCAGAATCCCAACCACTAGACCATTGGGATAAAAGGGCTTGTTAAGTAGCGGGTCAGTGCGCCCATAACCCCCCAGGCCAACGTGCATGTAACCCTTCCCTAGGATCAATCGGGGATCACCAGTGGACCTCTGACACCCCCCCGCACTGGGATGCCCGAAGTGCATACACCGAGATTCGAACCTGAGACCTTCGCTCTGATACCATGTCAGAAGAGTAGATTAATCTTTGGCGTCATGGCTAGGTTTTTAGGAAGACGAGAGTAGCGATGGAGAAGTTTCACCAACAAAAGAGGTTGTTCACTATAGAGCGAGCAGTACAAATGAGCAAGAATGAAGAAAGGTGCACCACCAAACAGAAATTTATATGACTACAGTATTCTACACTACAGGCAGTTATAGAACAATATATAGAATTATATATTATTCTGACACGCCCCCATAAGTGCCTGTAGGGAAGAATGTGCAGTCAACGCCCCCATAATGGGGTACACAAGACAGGCCGCAGCGGAAATCATAGCAACAGGCAAGTGCAGTGGCAACCGGTGCAGTGATGGCAGATCCAGCTGTACCAACCCCTCGGCCAAGGCAGAAACAGTAGCAGGTGTAGGGGCGGCAGGTCGCCTGAGGAGCAGGCTCTGTGGCTGCAACGTGCAGCAGGACAGCAGCGGCTCGACGGCAGCACCTGCAGGCCCCTTGCAGCAGGCAGCAGAAGCAAAGGCAGTAAAGGCAGGTGGCAGCAGGGGCGGCAGCTCGAGGTGCCACGGTAGCAGCGGGCGTCAGCAGTAGATGCCCGACTGACTTCCGCCACCCCCTCTCACCCTCCCCCCCACATCTGCAAGCGTGACAGTGAGAGAGAGAGGAGGGGGGACGGCTGTTGGTGCTGCACAATCTCTCTCACCACCCCCTCACACTCCCCCCCATCCCCCACAGCGACCGGCGCTGCAGGGAGAGAGAGGAGAGAGGAGGGCGTCGGCTGTTTCCTGCGGGTGCGCTCCCGCCACTCCCTCACCCTCCCCCCCACAGCGACAGTCGCGTATGGGGCGATAAAGGGCGACGGCAGGTGCT